ACACACACACACACACACACACACACACACACACACACACACACACACTCAATAGCATTTCCACAACTTGAAATAAAATATAGAGTGATTGATTATGGCACTCAGAAGAGACTCAAAAGATTTCAAATGTATTATCACTCCCTCAGACGTTAACGTTTTCCCAGCAGTTAAATATTTTTTGTAATTTAATGCCAAGGTAAAATAATACAAAGCATATTTAGAAATGTTCATTATTCTTTAAAAAAATGCTAGTTTGTCTATGTCTATCTATCTGTCTATCTCTCTGTTTGCACATCCAGTAATCAGTGAATCCATCTATTCGTCAACATCCATCTCCACCATGTTCAGCAGGTGAGGAGACTCATGGGCAGATAGTAAGCAGCAGAAGTGAGATGAAGTACTGTAGACTGTGGCAGGGAGAGAAGTACTGCTTAGGGAGCTGGCTGGAAAAAAATTAGCTGCTAGGACACTAATCATTTTCAATGACAGTGGCAGGCAGCACTTAGAGAGGATGCAATCCCATAAAATTGGTGGGAATAAGCCTGAGAGTATTGGAGAGCTGCGGGGGCTGTGGTCAGTGCTGCTGTATAGCACGTTGCCTGTATCTCCTGAATTTGACAGAATGTGTGGCTTGGCACAGCCTGTCAATGATTTTTTACATTGATCTTGACATTGTATTCTTCCTTTCAGGTGTGATCAGTTTTTAAACAAAGTCTTTCTAGAGATGCTTCGGTAGAATGAATAGTACAGAAATTAAAGCAAAATATGTAATATCCTCCCTGCAATTAGATGTCGTGAATGTTGCAGCTGTTCCCTATGTAATGTTTCCCAAGATAATTCTGTGTAATTGTAATAAATACTTTTGTATTAATGAACCAGCTCATGCTCTTGAAAGATAATTTCCCTTGGAACCAGTAGATTCTATTTTCAGTCTTTCCTCTGAAATGGATTGTATTCAAGTTGGAATATGAGAAATATTTCAGTATTGCATTATTTAAACATTTCATTACTTTAACATGATTTTTAACCTTATTATAGTTTGGTAGAATTTCAGATTGACACAATACCACAATTGCTTATTGCTTGTATTAGCCCTGATGTTTTGTATTATAGCTTTACCTGTCTAGTTGACTTGGATGACTTATTGCAGTTGATAATGGCAAGGAGATCCGGTTCTTTGATCTAAGGTATATGTGATGTGACCCTGGACCACAAAACCAGTCATAAGGGTAAATTTTTCGAAATTGAGATTTATACATAATCTGAAAGCGGAAAAAATAAGCTTTCCATTGATGTATGTTGTGTTAGGATAGGATGGCATTTGGCCGAGATACAACTATTTGAAAATATGGAATCTGAGGGTGCAAAAAAAATCTAAATATTGAGAAAATCAGAAAATCATCTTTAAAGTTGTCCAAATGAAGTTCTTAGCTATGCATATTACTAATCAAAAATTAAGTTTTAATATATTTACAGTAGGAAATTTACAAAATATCTTCATGGAACATGATCTTTAATATCCTAATGATTTTTGGCATAAAAGAAAAATCTATAATTTTGACCCATACAATGTATTTTTGGCTATTGCTACAAATATACCCCAGCGACTTAAGACTGATTTTGTGGTCCAGGGTCACATATGATGACAAAGAGAGCTTAAATGTGACAGTTAGCAGAATCTTTCACCATTGTCTTTGCAGCAATGCTAGTTAATTATAGAGCCCTCACTACAGTTTATAGTCACCTCATGCAGCCCATTACCTCTCTCTGTGCCCACTTAATGGAGGAAATGAAGGGCATTGCCCAGCAAGACAGGATGGATATTCCCATTAAAATTCTTCTTATGTATGGCAATGTGCTGGAGCTTAACCTTCCCCGTTTAGCGGATGTTGTACCCTGTCTGTACGTGTGTACATACGTGTGCCCATATGCCCGTGGAATGACAGAGATGTATGGTGCGATCACACAGCCAATTCATGGTGGCTTTGCTCTCCAAAGTCACTTTACCCATTCGGCTCCGCTAATGTGGAAACCACAACCAGACTACCATCATCATAGCCAATATATCTAGCCATTCACTGTTCTTCATTGTATGACCTGCTCCATCTGAGATATACTGTAAGAATGTTTTTTGCCTGACCGATTATTAGTTTGTTTACAGTACTGCAGTAAATCATTTGCATGCTGTGGCTTCTTTAATAAAATTGAGAAATCAACACGACAGCTGCCAGTAAACAACCGATGTGATTGCACTTTATGCTGCACAATGCAATATTAACAAACTAATTGAGGCAGCAGGAGCGAATGAGAGGCAATGTGAAGCTACTAGATAAGATTTTTCCCCTTACGGATTTCTGTCTGAATGGTAAAGAGCCCGTCTTTGCTTCTGCACAATTACCATGCAGTGATTTGCTGCAGGATTGCAGTGAAACGAATGTTTACTTGTGGCTTATTTTCAGTATTAGCTTTGGAGAGCCCTTGAATTAATTCACCAGAGTAAATATAAAGTGCACAATGCTACAGTGACGGAAAAGGGCTGTTGAGGATTGTCCTGTTGGATGGTGCTTTTGGTAACCCAGTTTTATTATTAAAATTGCTTTGCGATGTATTGTTCCTCTGTATTACTCATAAGTTGTTTTATCCAACGTAAGTCTTATTGCACACAGATGCCAAAATATCAGGCAGCCACAACATCTGACAGATCTACCTATGAGAATATCACGGCAATCACCCAGTTATCTCAAAACGCCACCAACGTAGCCCATGCATTTAGTGTCTTGCTCTCTGCTTTGCATCTAAATAGCACCACTTTCCCATAAAGCTGTTTATTTGTTAGTTCAATGCTCCACTGGTGTCTGACCAGAAAACTGCCTCTCCTCAAAGCTGCTATAGTGAGAGGGGGTGTTTTAAAGGTCAAAGAAAATGATTTTAGAAATGTGTTATTGCTGACAGTTTTATTGTGGGCCATGTGAAGGGACTCATTGTGCTGCGTCTGGGCACAGTCAAATACTGAACAGTGCAGCTCAGAGGCCTTAGAGAGCTGAAATGTCAAGACTGTAACGTAATGCACTTATTTGTGGGCTAAATGACATTACAGTTCCTGTTTTGATCCTGCTGGACATTGTCTTTGTGTCATTTTGTGTTAACGGGCTAGAAAAGGGAGCTGATTGTTATTTTAGTTGAAGAATGCTAAAATAGGAAAGGCTGCATAGCTTGTTGCCTATTTCTGCCTTTTTAGGTATGGTGAGTGCCTTCCAGCCCTTTAATCTGTCCATTTTGTAGTTTAAATTGCATTGCTTACTGTCTGTGGTTATTTGACTTACTGATGCCAGCGAATTTAGCATGCACCATTTGTGTCAAGCCTTGCAGTCGTAAGTGGCGCTGTGTGCATTCCCTCACTCAAACTTCATGAGAAAAAGATTTTTTTTTCTTTTATCCTCTTGTAATTTTATAAATCAACATTAATGGATATAGACTGCATAGTGTAGAGTACTGAATGTTGTTAAATGTGGAGCAGTAGGGAATAGGGAGAGAGTGATGCTAAGACTGTCCTTGAGACAAAGCACGCTTGGGTTACATTAGGCACTCTCAGAGACCATAATTTCTGCTGATGTGATTATTATTTTTGTGGTTCATGAGGGACTGCTCTGTATCCGGCGTACTGGATTATTA